AAAAGAAAGTAGACTTTGAAAGCTTTAATCCCCTTAGATCTCTCCCTGGATTTTTCTATGACTCGGTCTTGTCCCTCTAAAGCTCTTATGAGTAAAAAAATTCTCTGTGGTCTTTTGATAACATAAAATTGATAAATGAATAATATTATTTACATCAAATACAGTTTAATCTGTAAGTGCTATGTAATGCTATTCAAGAGAGATGACTGCTCACGTGTTAAAATTCAATATAAATGCGGAAGTCTGGCTAGTTTTAAACAATGTTAATGTTTTTAGAAACTGGAATTTATCAAGAAAAAAATTCCTGAGTATAAAAAGTTTTCTATTCTTAGAAATAAGAGGCTAGGCGAAAGGGAGAGAGAGAGAGAGAGAAGGAGGGAGGGAAGGAGAAGAGAGAAATAAAACATAATGGCCTGGGCACAAAGGGAAGAATGAAAGGTTCAGTTAAAGATACAGGATAATTACTGCCCAGGTTTTTGACCAGCAATTTACTTCCCTGTCACTAGATGGGGCTCACTAGTTGAGGTTATTTCCCTTCAAGATTTGCATTTTGTGGCCGGCAACATAAAGAATTCAACTGGGCTTTGGGTTCAGCATTTTAAAAGATAAGTGATTGGAAGGTATTCAATGGGAATCCTAATAAGATTGACTTTTTTGTTGACCACAATAGTCTTATTGAGCAAAGCTAGCTCTATCCCAATTTAACATGAAATAGGTCACTATTAGAAAAGACAGCTTTATTGTGTTTGTATTTGGGATTAACGGATAAAATAAATAGTTCTTTTCTTCCCACAGGGGTTGATGAGCCAGCTTTATTCTAAATGACTGAAGACTTCTGTTCTTTTCAACAAACACAGTCCTCCAATTAGGAGCTGCAAATAAGATTATATGCCCTGAATAAGTCTGAAAAGGTCCTTTTATAATTAGAAAGTTTGTGTGTGGGAAGTAGAAGCAGCATTAAGTGCTCACTGTGGCTTTATTAAGAGAGTGACATGAAGATTTCCCAAATCCTCCTCGGAGTGCTCTGAAATGATAAAAATAAAAATGATAGAAAACAGTAAGCATATTCCATTTCTTCTCCTTCTTCTTTTTTTTCCCCTGGAAGCCTTCATATTTAAGCTGTAGAAACAAGGCCGTGTTTTTTATTTCATCAGGCATATTTTGGAAACAGTGCCATTTAATAGCACAAAGATTGTTAAAATACAAGGGAACATAAATTCAATTAAGGGACGACGTTAAGATCGTCTTGCTAACAGAGGGCATTCTGTGTTAGATTTTTCTTTCCATGTATTTTCACTTACACACTTTTATGCTTTTTGCTCTAACCCCCTACTATGGCATAATATTTTGTTAAATGCTGTTGAGTTCCTAGCCTGTGGACACACAGTGGCAATTGTTCCCATCTAGAACCTTCCAGATCGACCAGATTTCAGTATGTGAATGGATATTTCCTGGGTGAATAAATGCCCTCTCCACAGCGCACTCAAGGACCCAGTTGACAGCCTCACAGAAAGATGCAGCCCTGCAAAGCCACCTGGGCTGGGGGTGTGAGGAAGGGGGCACAGCTTCCCCTAAACTCGGAGGGAGGGAAGGCAAGGCTGGCAAGGCAGAGGAAGAGCTGAGAGTCTCTAGGTAGGTGGGAAAAACAGCAGCTCCTGACAGCTGACACAGCACATCCAATCTCCAGCTCAGCCTCTTCCAAACAGACATTTCAGGTGCTTGCTTCCAGTAACCTGAGGCTGTCCCGAAACTGGGGGTACAGCAGCAGACAGGACAAAGAGTCTGCCCTTATGGAACTGACATTCCAGCCCCCTTTGACCTGTGTACCTTTCTTTGCCACACTGTTATCTTTAAAATGGGTATAATACCTACCTCACAGGCCTGGTAGATTGGAAACATTATAGCTAAGGGTTCAGCAAAGGCCCTGACACTTAGGAGGCACGCAGGAAATATTACATAAATGAATGCACACGCCCACAGAATCAGAGACAGACTCACTACACCTGCTTTCCTGAACTTTTAAACCCACTTTAAAAAATTCCATTGCAGATACCATCTCCTAAGATTTAAATTTTATATACACAAAATACACACACACACCCTTTAGAATCACTGAATACCTCCGGAGTGAGAAAGATCTTGTTGAGCATTGTTTTTTTCTAGTTTAAATTATGAAAAAGATTATTATTCAAAAATAAAATTTGATAACAATATTGATGTGCTCTTTCAAACTACACTTTCCCTACTTCATTCTTATCCAATCCAGAAATTAAGATCTATCTCTCCCTCTAGGGGTCACCATGCCAAATAGACAATAAATGTGGTTAACTGCTAGCCTGTTTGACCAACAGAATGTTCATGGCCAAGTGGAACCACTTGTCATAGCAAGGTATAATTTAGACTAGTGGTTCTCCTGACTGCACACTGAAGTCATCTGGAGGAGCTTTATAAAAGCACCTAATGCCTATGATTTCTTGGCTCTGACACCGAAAGACAGGCAATGATAACAAAATAAATAAGTGAGACTACACGAAAGTCAAAAGCTTCTGCATAGAAAAGGAAACAATCACAAAATGAAAAGCATACCTACAGAATAGGAGAATATACTTCAAACCATGTGTCTGATAAGAGGCTAATGACCAAAGTATATAAAGAACTCTTACAACTCAATAGCAAAAACACCCAAATAACTCACAAAAAAACTTGAACAGACATTTCTCCAAGAAAGACATACAAATGGCCAACAGACACATGAAAAGATACTTAGTATCACTCATCATCAGGGGAAGACAAATCAAAACCACAATGAGATATCACCTTACACCCTTTAAAATGGCCATTATAAATTAAAAAAAAAAATTTAAGAAGCCCAAAATAATAAATACTGGCAAGGATGTGGAGAAGTCAAAACCTTGTACACTGTTAGTGGGCATGTAAAATGGTACAGCCATTATGGAAAATAGATAGATTTTCCTCAAAAAATTAAAAATAGGGATGCCTGGGTGGCTCAGTCAGTTAAGTGTCTGCCTTTCGCTCAGGTCATGATCTCAGGGTCCTAGGATCGGGTCCCATATCAGGTTCCTTGCTTAGTGGAGAGCCTGCTTCTCCCTCTGCCTGCCACTCCCCCTGCTTATACTCTCCCTCCCTCTCTCTCTCTCATAGAACTACCATATGATCCAACAATCCCACTTCTGGATATTCATCAAAAAGAAATCAGGATCTTGAAGAGGTATTTACACTCCATTGTTCATCGCAGTATTGTTTACAAAAGCCAAGACATGGAAGCAACCTAAGTGTTCATCAGCAGATGAATGAATACAGAAGATACAAACAATGGAATATTATTATTCAGCCTTAAAAAAGAAGGAAGTCCTGTCTTGTGCTACAGCATGAATGAAACTCAAGGGCATTACGCTAAGTAAATAAGTCAGGCACGGAGGGACAAATACTACATGATTCTACTTATATACAGTATCTACAGTAGTCAAACTCATAGAAGCAGAAAGTCTAAGGGTGGTTACCAGGCCCTATGGGAGGGGGGAGAGGAAAGCTGCTCTTCAATGAGTAGAGAGTTTAAGTCATGCAAGATGGAAAAGTTCCCCAAATTTCTGCTGCCCAACAACGTGCATATAGTTAGCAACCCTCTAGTACACCCTTAAAATCTATCAAGAGAGTAGATTTACATTGTGTTTTTTTAATCCCAATTTTTTAAAAAGTACCTGGACCCATCCTAACCAATGAAATCAGAATCTCTGCGGGTTGGGGTGGACATCGTTTATTGTTTTTACTAATATTGCTGTTCTTCCTCTTTGGTTGTGCACATGAAAGAGTTCTATATTACTAGCTCTATAAAGCTGCATTATCTTCTGTCGCAAGTATACGTCCCCTTGCCCATATCTGTTCCCTAATAATAACTAGAATACTTAATACCTACTTTGATCAGTACTGTCATCCTTCAAGTTGGCTGCTCTAGAAACTTGGGGGTCACCCCTTCATCGGGTCATCAAACACTGTTAATTCTACATCTTAAAGATCTGTCCATCCACCTCTCCTCTTACTCCCTCTCTCCACTACCACATCTTTAGAATGCTCTTTGTCTTTTCTGAAATCAAAAACTAATTATGTTGCTCTCATTTTTCAAAAGTCTCAGCAAACAGCCTTGCTCTCCGGAACAAAATTTAAAGCAAAGCCAAAATACCCCGTTAGCCAATTCTACTCGCTAAAATAGAAGGGCGGGGTCAGATGAAAAGAGGTCAGCTTTCCATAGTATATTTTATATCCCTATAATTAACCTTTCTGTGTACTAATCAAATTAGGGTTTGAGTTTTGAGTCACCCTTGCTATTCTAAGTGTCGCAATTGATTTGGATATGGCGGCGTATGTGATGGCCACGTCTCAGCCATCTCAGCCTGCTGTTCCAGCCTCACCCTCACATGCAGACAAGGCTCCAGCATTTCCAGCCTACTCGCGGCTCCTCAAATGGGCCATCTCTCTCTGGCCTCTGAACATGTCATAGGTTGTTCACACTCTCTGGAATACCTTCCACCTCCCTGCCCTTCTCCATCTGACTAACCCGTCTTCAGACTTCAAGATGGAGCGTACAGGTTACATTAGCTTAGGGGTGGGGACAGGGATGTCACAGAAGTGGGTACTGTAAGGAACCTGGCAGGCAGCACCCAAGGGCTTTTGAGCCTGTGCACTCTCACTTCCAAAGCTGCCATCTGAAGCCAGCCTGGCTAGCTCAGCCGAGTTTATAAGGACTCACCCATTGCCTCATTTTTGCAGGTTACCCAAAAGGGAATGCTCCAGAGGAAATGGCACCAAGCCACAGAATTTTAATTGCAGTTTAGAATTACAAATGTGAGTAAGCCAAAGTGGAAAAATTTGCAAAACTGAGAAATCACTATGAATTTTGCAATGATGCCAGCAACGTTTGTGAGTCGGTCCGCACAAACATACACACAAGTTATATAAATACAAAAAGCTTTTTAAACCCATCCCCAACCGCTAAAACGAAAGCCAATATGCTCTTTTTTGTCTACCACCCGCTCAAATGGAAGGGAGAGGGGTCAACTGAGAAGAGGTAAGCTTTAGATAGCATATTTTATATCCCTACAATTAATATTACTTTCTGAACATTAACCAAATTGGGGTTTGGGTTGTGAGGGGGTCTTGCTCTTCTAAATGTTGCAGTTGATTGAGATATGGCTATTGATTTGCTTTTGAGACTATAATCCATTTGACAAGCAGGGGAAATTATCTTCTTTGGATCTGACCTGCCAGATTGGATTCCCAGGAAACAATGAACATCCATTAGAGGGTCCATATATATTAATGAGCAAGAGGGTGTTGAACTGCATACACTGTAATTATATCCCACAATTGCTTCTACATTTAAAACAAATTCTGATATTATTTGCATGCATCATTGGAAACCAATTATTTATACATGTTGCAATTTTGACTCATAAAAAATGAACACTTGTTTTATGCTTTTTGAGGAGGGATAAATGCAATGAATAGAATATAATGGGTTCTCTGAAATTATCAGTTACCAAAAATATTTCTTTTTAATCCAAGAAAGCCTGTTAAACAGGAATGTTTGCATTATTTAGTTTATTTACTTGCTTGCAGTTATTCTTGTTAAAATCTACAAGTCCAATTATTTGACTGTGACATTGGAATTATGTCCAAATAATTAGAGAAACATTTGCCTATTGGTAATTAAAGTTTCTGAGGTGAAAAGAATTTAAAAGATTATGTAAGAGATAATAAATAATATTATCTTCTGTTGAGTAACTGTCCCTTTAGTTCTTTGGGAAAGGAATGGTATTAACTCTTAATTTCTACTTAAGTAGGACTGGGAGGGGAGGTTAATGAACACCAACTACATGCCAGACACCATTCAGGGAACTGAAAACACGATGACAAATAAGAAAAACCCATCCCTTAAGAAACTTATATTTTATTTTTATTTATTTATTTATTTTTTAAAAGATTTTATTTATTTATTTGACAGAGAGAGAGACAGCAAGAGAGGGAACACAAGCAGGGGGAATGGGAGAGGGAGAAGCAGGCTTTCCGCGGAGCAGGGAGCCCGATGTGGGGCTCGATCCCAGGACCCTAGGATCATGACCTGAGCCAAAGGCAGACGCTTAACGACTGAGCCACCCAGGCGCCCCAAGAAACTTATATTTTAAAGGGCCACGGTGCCTGGGAGATGAAAATATCAGATATGGGAAGATATCACAATATCCTCTCCATCAGCACGGAGGGAGGCCAAGGCACTCTAAGAAGGTTGAATTAAGTGTACGAAGGAGCATGAATATTTCAGAGGCTAGAAATGTCTGCAGGCACATAAAGTTTGGGACCTTATACAAGGGGAGATTAAATTTGCTGATTTAACCGATAGATGAAGCCAAGCTTGCTCGCTTCTGAGCCTTCGCACATGGGAGACAGTGAAGTGTGGAGGTTACCGGCTCTGGAGCTAGGCTCTCCATAGTCTCGGCTGTTTATTAGCTTGGGACTTCAAGCAACTGGCCTAACAGTCTCTTGCCTCCGCTTAGACTTCTGTAAAATGGAAGTAACACTTGTATTTACCCTGGAGGACTGTTGTGAGGGCTAGGTGAATGAACGCTTACAACAGGGCTGGGCCCCTGCAAGGGCTTAGGACATGCTAGCTACGACTGTAAGGATCTCATCTGCTTCTTTCTCCACCCAAATCCTTTGGTGTCTTTAGAATTTTGCTTTAATCCATTTCCAATAGGTCATCTTAAGATTAACTCAAGACATTTCCTGGGGCTGACTTGACAAGGAGAGGGAGTGGGGGACAAAATTGTCCCCTCTCTCTGCCATCAGGTTTGAAATTACCTCATTAGTGCCTCCTTTTTTTTTTTTTTCCCCATAGTGCAGGCTTGCGGAGCTTTGAAGAATTCCATCTCAAAATGCAGATTCCCCTGGGAGAGGCCTCTTCCAGTCTCAAGGAGAACAGAGGTGGCAAGTGTATGGCTCTGCACTCTGCAGCTGCATTTGTAAACACGGCATTTGGAAGGAAAAAAATCCTGGCCCAGAGCCGCCTTTTTCCCTGATGCCCTGAGAACTGTTGCAGGTCCTTTCCCAAAGCTACATCTGTGAAAGGCCGAACTGGCAGGAACAATTCTCAATGCACAAGTGTCTGGGATGCCAGGCAGATGAAGAGCTCAGGCGAGCAGAGAGAAAAGCCCCAGGCCCCTCCCTCTCTCAACAGGAACTTCAAGGGTGCAGACATCGGAGCCTAAGTTTTAGACCACACGTATGTTTTCACTCTGTCTTAGGATGTTGAGGTAAGGAGAATGCAGCATATTAAAATGAATACAGAATCAGGTAGCACCTCTCTTCCCCTCCTGATCTTCTACCTTACGGGGGGTGTGGTGAGAAAAGTCGCTATGGACAAGACAAGAGATGAAATGAAGAAGCTGATATGGTGTCTGACTGGATCCGTGCTGTCCAGTAGAAAGACAGGGTGAGGCACATCTGTGAATGTGTGATTTTAAACATTCTAGTCACCACACTGAAGAAAAGAGAAAAAGGAGAAGTTCACTTGAATAAGGTATTTTCTCTAACCCTGTCGATCCAGGACATCATCGATTCACAAAATAACTGATAAATTATTAACAAGATTTTTACATGCTTTTCTTCATACTAAGTTTTGGAAATCCAGTATGTGTTTTAGACTCACAGCACTCACAATTTGGACTAGGCACATTTCAAGTACCCAATAGCCACATGCTCCTAGTGGCTACCATTTTGGACAGAGCAGGACTAGACCCTTCTTTGAAAGGTACAATAAAACAAAAAACTTCCACATTGCCAGACCAACGGAATGTCTACCATCCAAGTGCATTGGGACAATCTGAGATTCATCTTTATAAGTTATAGACTTTTCAGCCCCCAACTATGAACTGTCACTGGCTCTCTTTTCTGGCAGCAAGAGACAGCCGTCACTCTACCCCAAATCCCCGCTCCTCAGATCATCTAGGAAGTATCTTTTTGGTTGATTTCTTTACATTTCCCAAGTTCCCACGGAGTTAAGTAAGACTCCTCTGGGCATTCACAGCTACCAATTAAGGGTTTCTAGTTCTTCCTAACAAAAGGTCAGACTGGGTAAGGGTCAAGAGCTGAAAATCCCAGATCAACCTTGGAACGATGCAGCCAATGTGGAGAATGGATTGCTCCATCCACTGTAAGGGAAAGGGGTGGGGAGTGGAAGAGCCTTTGTCCACCTCCCCATGATTTCCTTCCCTCCCAAATGTCCCCATCCAGTCCTTAGGAATCCATAATCCATGACCAAAACTTCTCTTATCATTCTGCTACTCACAGAATCATCTCTCTAATGCCATCTCCTGAGGACTCTCGCTTTCTCTATAGCTCACAGAGACGTTTTTCCTTCTCCCATACCTCAGGAGAGCCTACTGATGGGCCACCTTCAGGCAGGGTTTGTAAAAGGGGGCCATACCTCCCATACCTCAGGAGAGCCTACTGATGGGCCACCTTCAGGCAGGGTTTGTAAAAGGGGGCCAAAGAAGAACGGTCTGTGTTTAAAGACTAAATGAATCTCCATCTTAAGGAAATCTTTTACTGGCCTGCAAGTACAATAGTTGTTCATGAAATGAGTGTATATTCTTTAAGCTCTCTGCAGTTTTCTATCATTCATGGTACTCCTATTTTATAATTGTTATCAATCTGAGTGATTATAAAATTAATATCTATTCCCCCATATGTTTCACATGGGCAGAAATGGATGTTTTGCCAACATTTTTTTTTAAGACTTTATTTATTTATTTGACAGAGAGAGACACAGCGAGAGAGGGAACACAAGCAGGGGGAGTGGGAGAGGGAGAAGCAGGCTTCCCACATAGCAGGGAGCCCAATGTGGGGCTCAATCCCAGGACCCCGGGACCATGACCTGAACCGAAGGCAGATGCTTAACAACTGAGCCACCCAGGCGCCCCATGTTTTGCCAACTTTTAGTGGAGAAATTATGGAGTATTACCCCACCCTCCAGCAATGCAACAACCCTATGGGGTCATTAAGAATTTAATACTGTCCCAAGCTTAGAAAAAACTCAGCCCCAAACCTCAACCAAATCTTCATTCACTGTTTTGTCTCTCCTTGTTTCATTTAGTCTTTAAACACAGACCGTTCTTCTTTGGCCCCCTTTTACAAACCCTGCCTGAAGGTGGCCCACCCAGTCTGCAGAACACCCTTCTCTGCAGGGTGCACCCCCTTCTTTTCATCAGTGCCCACACCCCACACCCCTGTCTCCCAGAGCCTCACCCAATATTTCAGAGACCATTAGAATGTTTCCTCTGGCTTATGGATAGACCAAGAACTCTGTGTTTCCATGGCTATATATTTTTTTTAAGAATTCTTTATTTATTCTAGAGAGAGAGACAGAGTGCGAGCACATGGGGGAGGGGCAAAGGGGGACAATCTCAAGCAGACTCCCCGCTGAGTGTGGAGCCCCACAAGGGATTCAATCTCACAATCTCATGAGATCATGACCTGGGTCGAAACCAAGAGTCTGCCACTTAACTGAGCCACCCAGGTGCCCCTCCATGGCTATATTTCTGAAGGGAAAGGAGCCATACCCTTAAATCCCTACCTTTTATCGTGAGCAACAACCACAAAATCACATCAGAATGCTTAAGGGAAAATATTGGCAAATCAAAAAGACAGACCATAAAGAAGCCTTATGTCAAGACAACTGCAAGCTCACATATTTCATGAGTCAGCCTGGGGTTCATTTTCCACTACTTCTGCCCTTGGCTATGACTTGTTTCAAGATCCTGCCAAATGAAGTAAGAATTTAGAAAGCTTCATGCAGGCTTCCTATTTTCCACAGATGACAGTAAACTAAAGGTTCTCCAGAGACATTTTGGTGAATGAAATTTTATTGTGAAGAGTGATTCAGTCCAGTGCCAGCAAGGAACTCTTGTTTGGAAAACTTAGTGCCTGAAACAGTGGCTTTGGATAGTCCCTCTGGCTTCAAATAGCATTATGAGTCACTGAAAATAATTCTCTTGGCAGCTTAGGGGGTCTCTGATTGCAATGTTTAGGTCCATGTCTGTGAACACCAGCACAAGAGGAAATGAAACATTTTGTTTTCTAGGCTAGGGCATGTGTTAAAATAAGTTATGATGAGTGGGACCTGTTCTTGGGGAGAAGAGCTGAAAATTCTTCTTTGCGATTTACAGAGAGACAGAAAAGAAAAGAAATCCCTGCATAAAACATCAATAACAGCCAATGCTTTTAAAGCATTTTCACTTTGGTCCTCTGACAGAGACAGGGAAGGAACATTGGGGTCATTGCACAGATAGAGAAACTGAGTCTAAAACCTGCTGGGAGACTAAGAATAGCAAAGTCTGAACATGAATAACTATTTCCTATTTTACCCGCTATTCAATGCTATCACTCTTTCAATGTTATTTTTAATTTTAAGGCCTTAATTTATCATCTTTGAATGATATCTGGAGAGGACATATACTATAAACACGAAGTGCTGTATTTTTACTGCTTTTTGCAAGTGACCGGAAAATCCTTTTAACCTACTAATAAGCTTTCGAAAGTTTGCTGAAGGGTGTAGCAATCATGTGTATTTCTGCAGAATTCAATATTGTTCTTACAAATGTAGAGACAACGACATAGAACAGGAAAATGTAATTACTTGTAACCAGGGAATCTTTCATTGACTGGAGATTTCTCTCAGTAAATTGTCCTAGAGAGTAGGCATCAGAGGAGAGAGAGAGAGAGAGAGAGAGAGAGAGAGAGAATGTGTACAAAGAAGATATCTTATCTTCCTTCCGGAGCAAAAAAGGACAACATTATAAGAAAGAACTGTACACACACACACACACACCTTCTTCTTTTCCTCCAGGCCTTAATAAAAACCCAAAAACAGCTTCTGCAAACAGCAGACCATTCCAGGGGAAAAGCAGATGCCCAGAGCACTCTGACTCAATCAATCAAACCCTGGACCTAAGAGCACAATTGAGCCATTTTCTCTTTATTGCAACAATTCATAAAATTGGAAGGAATAAAAAAAAAAAAACAAAACCCATCCTTAATCCTACCAGCCCAACAGGACTATTTCCATGTTTGCAAATTCCCTTCCAGTTTTCCTTAATATGCTTATTTTTTCTGAAGTCCCTGTAATGTAGTTATGTTCCTTGAATTCTATCAACTATTTCAGAAGAAAAGTTTAAATTGAAATACCATCACACTCCTGTTTCTGTGGTGGCCATTTTTATGTACTTTGGAAGTTATTTCAGAAGCTTATCTCCTGGGCAAAAGTTTTTGGCATCACTGCTTGTACTCAAGTTAAAAAAAATCTATTAATATTGTCCTTGACACAGCCCAGTGTTTGGTCAAAATGCAAATTTATGTGACAACATATATTTCATAATAATTTCTTTCTCTCATATGAAATTACTTTAACAAATAAGGCCCATAATTTGTATTTAACTAATTGAAATTTATTATCATTACTTCGGGGCAAAGCATCATCCAGGCGACATTAATAGATGCGGTGTGGTACATGATTGACAGTTTGTACCATTGGATCGTGCTGTCTGGTGTTTAAATAATGCCAGGGTTCAAGTGATTAAATCCCACTACAGAACTGGTCATTTTAGACAAAGTGATTTCATTTACAGCATCTGATTTGCATAATCACTCAGCCTCTCTAGGGAAGTATTATTGAGGGAGAGATGGAGAGATTGATCCTGCATTCCTAGATACAAGGTTTCAGAGCTGAATTTGATACTTGGATCTCACAGGTGGATTTTTAAATAATATTGTCAATTGGAATTTTTGACATCTAAAAAATATTTCTATTTCGGTGGAGTTTCCCATCAGAGTCACAGTCGTGAACAGGAGGAAAGAAGGTATTTGAATTTGCCCTTGAAATAAGAAAAAAGTACAGCAACTCTACTTCAAAATACAACCAAAATCCAATTTGGCTCTTACCAGCAAACTAAATTCTCTGTTATCAATGTGCAGGTCACATCTGGGAATTTTCTTGAAAAATCAAGAGAGAATTACTTTTCTAATGACTCCGAGCATAATCTTTCCCAATAAATAGCAAGGGAGGCAGATGGACAACTCCTATATTCCAAACATATTTGAAAGGTAGACTAATTTTCAGAGCTGAAAACTCTGGAAAGAAGCAATATATGGCTTTCGTCCTCTACCTTGAAAAAGAAAGTATTGGAAACTTAGCGGTTTGTTACGGGCTTTGCTTTTTTAAGGAATCTTCATGTGGTATCTCTCACTGGCTGCTTTTATCTTTTATTATTATTTTTAAGGTCTGTCATGCTCCTTGAGCTCCTTGAGCTTCTTAAATCTTTGAACCTTTTATTTCATATGTCAACTTCAAATTTCACAGCATCCTTCTCATTCACCCACTCGTCCACCCCTGGTTGCATCCATTCATCCATCTACTCGCTCCCTCAGTTGTCCTCATAATTTATAGAGCTTCAGGAGCTGCAAATACAAAGTCATGTAAGACACAGACCCTGGCCTCAAGGAACTTAGACTCGGTCTTTAAAGGACATTTCTTTTTCCCCTCTCTTTTTTTAAAGATTTTATTTATTTATTTGACAGAGAGAGACACAGCGAGAGAGGGAACACAAGCCGGGGGAGTGGGAGAGGGAGAAGCAGGCTTCCCGCGGAGCAGGGAGCCTGATGCGGGGCTCGATCTCAGGACCCTGGGATCATGACCTGAGCCGAAGGCAGACACTTAATGACTGAACCACCCGGGCGCCCCTCTTTTTTTAAGTCAGCTTCACACCCAGCATGGAGCCCAATGTGGGGCTGGAACTCACGACCCTGAGATCATGTCCTGAGCTGAGATCAAGAGTCGGATGCCCAACTGACTGAGCCACCCAGGCACCCCTTAAATGACATTTCTACAGCAGGAATTATGTATTGCCAGAGAGGCAGATTCTCCCAGGATAAGTCACTTACTGTGTGTAAGTTGAGAGGTACATAATTTTAAGTAAACTTAGTAATTAAATAGAGAAAAAAGGAGGACTAGGTTATGAAGAAGAGAGTGGAGAAGAATGAGAAAGATTAACTAATCTGACAGCTACATACTGCATCGTTCATTTACCATTGTGAAATAGTCATTGAAATAGAAATGATTGATTACATTATTAATTAGCTAAATAATAATGATTAAATCCTAGTTCTGGTTGGTCTGGGATTAAATCCTTTCCTAATGTGGAGGTTTGTTAGCTCTACTGAAGAAAAACTTCAAAACCTAGAGACTGTAAGGAGGAGGAAAGGGGTGGGGGTGAAATGGAGGTAAAAATTCTTTTTTTAAGATTTTATTTATTTAGGGGCGCCTGGGTGGCTCAGTTGCATAAACGACTGCCTTCGGCTCAGGTCATGATCCTGGAGTCCCGGGATCGAGTCCCGCATCGGGCTCCTTGCTCTTTAATTTTTTATTTGAGAGGGAGAGAATGAGAGACAGAGAGCATGAGGTGGGGAGGGTCAGAGGGAGAAGCAGACTCCCTGCCGAGCAAGGAGCCCGATGCGGGACTCGATCCAGGGACTCCAGGATCATGACCTGAGCCGAAGGCAGTCGTTTATGCAACTGAGCCACCCAGGCGCCCCTGGAGGTAAAATTTATCATTTATGATCCATGTATGAGCTATTTTAACTTGGAAATAGTATCTTTTATAGAGGTGCTTAATTGAACTTCCAATGGCCATCTTGGTCATAATACTCTCATGCATGAGAAGAAACTTTGTATTTATTCTGGGCCAAACCCAGTAGATCCAAAGAAATCAAGCTGACAAAGAAAATTGAGAGCAGCCTAGGGGCACAGGCATATTCTTGAGGCTTTCCTTGGACTTTTTGGAATTTTGATTTGTTTTTGTTTTTTTGAATGGGAGTAGGTATTTGGGAAAAAACACATAAGGGGGAGTATTATAAATCTGTTTATAACACAGATTCTTCTGTTCTTAGATTCAGGCTGGGAAGTAATAAAAATGTCAGGATGGACAGGGAAACATGAGCCATTTCTTTCTTTTTTTTTTTTTTTAAGATTTTATTTATTTATTTGAGAGAGGGAGAATGAAAGACAGAGAGCATGAGAGGGAGGAGGGTCAGAGGGAGAAGCAGACTCCCCACTGAGCAGGGAGCCCGATGCGGGACTCGATCCCGGGACTCCAGGATCATGACCTGAGCCGAAGGCAGTCGCTTAACCAACTGAGCCACCCAGGCGCCCCATATGAGCCATTTCTTGAAATGCTACATGACCATGCAGATTTTATGTTTTCCTGTAAATTTTTTTGAAATTATTTTGCAAAGCTAGAGCAGAGGATATGGGCTGCCCTTATGAATGATTCTCATAGGGCAGTCACAGGAGGTTTTTCTGAAGAGTTACATGGAGAAAGATTCTGACTTCCATGTTAGATTTCACCACAAAGTACCTCACTCAGTTCTTCCACAAGCTGGTCACAGGATAAGCTAGATGTGATTAAGGATCTCACGGAGTCATGTCAACATCTGGCGCTGCATCTCCCACATCTTTAATATTCTGTCTTTCCTTCTCTCTGCTCTCCTTCACTATGTCTTTTGCTATTGTTATCAATGATATCATAATTAGCTGCAGGTATTACTCCTTGTCAATAAATTCAATATATTCAATAGTTTGCAAATTTACAGCATTGGTAGAGTAGGAAATATTTGTTTTTCATAATATGAAACCTCAAATTTCATCTGTGTTCAGATTGGATTGCATCATGCCACCGACTTGCTGTAAAAAAAACAGGAAAGGAAATCAGGAGACACGCTTCTTACTATTTACCCTTTTGTTCTGTTTGAAAACTTTGCCATAAATATGTATTACCTATTTTTCAAACTCTATGCAATATTTAAATAGTTAGTTAAAATCACCTCTGAGATGTTTTGCAGCAAAGCTCGTTGAGATATCTCAATAAAAGGTCATCTGAGGTCCAGTGCTGCTCTCATTCAGATTTAGAACAATCAAGGGGAAAAACATAAAAGCTGAAATATTCAGGAGAAGCAAGATTTTGTTTACGTAATTTAAATCTATCCCAAACTAACAAAGACCAAAGCAAGTACTGAAATTTGCTGGAATAATCATCTCTGCAAAGTGGAGCAGCATTTTATTATCTCTCTATCCACTGTTAGCAAGGAGAAAACAGCTAATGACGACAACAGTTGAGCAAGTGACAGAGGAGATGGTTCTCATCAGCTCAATCTCTTTGTACAGACTTCTGTAGACTGTCACTTTTTAGTATCCTCTCCTCACTCATAAATCCCAAGGCTGTGGTTGAGGATAGCTTCCCTGGGAACACAATCTGCCTCTCCTGGGCAGAAGAGAAGCCATGGTGGGCAGCTTTAGTAGAACCTGATGAAGGCAACAAAGGATCTGAGTCTGCCCCAGGGACATACGAGTAGCCACAAGGACCAGAAAGATGAGGCTCAGGAAATCATTATGAGCACAGCCCTGACGTGAAACTAGTAAAAAAGAGAGTATGATACAAGATGTTGGCTAGTGTGTACTATATACAGGGAAGAGACGTGCAAATTTCCAGTTATTTCCTCATGCCCAGCCTCATCACCTGCCTGAGTTCCTTTTCAAATAACTCTGTGGGACCAAAGCAATATTCCCTGAGTCTGACTCTCCGTTAAGTTTTGGCTTCTCTCTGGCAAGTATCACTGTGGAACATATTCTTCTTAAAACTCCCTTCCACATCACTGAGACTTTTTAGAGGGCAAGGCTATGTACATCTAATATTAGTAATAACAGCAATAATTACTACCAATTAGAAAACATCTTCCGTGGACTTGGTACTTTGCCTAAGCCTCTTAGGACTACCCTCTGATACCTCATTGGTATGATTATTCCCAGGAGAATCAAACAGAGGATGAAGGGATTTAATTTACATTTCTGACATCACATTTCCAGTGTTCCTGACCCTGTTACTTCCTAACAATGGGACCTACGGAATACAGCGAGCTACCTACGGAATATCTACCAAGCAGTAGCACTGTGGCAGTTACAAGAAAGTGGGGCATGTTAGAAGAAGTAGTTTTAGAAACAGATCCCTGACCCTGATACATGAAAAATGCTCAGGGATTGATAATTACCACCACCACCACTCCCATAATCATCACCATCAGACTTGAGCTCTTTTCTCCAGGAACTCTTGCTCACTCCAGTATATTATACTGCCTTATAAATGCCATAGTGTCCATAGTATAGTAGATAATCTTTAAATGTCCCTAAAATACTTGCTGATGGATTCACTAATTGTCATTTGTCTTTCCAGATATGTTAATATCGACAAAAGGACAAATCAGTAAAGTAACAAATTGGCATTCTGTTCTATGAATTGGGATATAAGCATTTTGGCTAGAAGACCATTTCCTGAGTTTCAGCTCCTCAGACCTGCAGGAACCTGGCACAGAAGGGAGAGACTTCAGGCTATCCTTCAACCACCATCTCTAGCTACAAGTCCAGCTAACAGAGTCACTAGGGAGCCAGAACCAAGGAAATCAGAACAAGCTTTAAGAAGCAAGAAAACTGGGGCGCCTGGGTGGCTCAGTCATTAAGCGTCTGCCTTTGGCTCGGGTCCTGATCCCAGGGTCCTGGGATCGAGCCCCGCATCGGGCTCCCTGCTCCGTGGGAAGCCTGCTTCTCCCTCTCCCACTCCCCCTGCTTGTGTTCCCTCTCTCGCTGTATCTCTCTCTGTCAAATAAACAAAATCTTTAAAAAAAAAAAAAAAAGAAGAAGCAAGAAAACCCCAAGAAAGTAAGTAATCCCAGCTAAATGCTTTGTTAGACTGAAAGGAACATGGTCTTTTGTGCTTTAATCTTTTGACCTTGTTAATGGAAGGCATGGAGTAAAATTGTGTTTACCCAAATTTCACTACAGCGGAGCTAGGAAATCAGCTAACGGTCGGAAGTTAGCAGAAAGGTCTTAAAAACTTCATCTTCTGAAGCCATCGTAACATTGCCATTCAAATGAAAATGAAAAAGAAAAAAAAAAGCACTTCCAAACGCTAAAAGAGATTTCTATCTTCCCATTTCAACAGCAACCACTATAAAATATGTTCTAAAACAAACACAGAGCACTAAAAATTCCACTGTTTAAGCTCAAAGTCAAACATCTGTCTTGTTGCCTTCTAGTTTCACCTTGGTTCCCGAGGGTCTCAACTAAAACTGCAGAAATTTGGAGCTTTTCCCCCTTTCATGCATTTTCAAGTGTTAGTTCTGAGATGTTTAATAATCTTCATTAGTTAATCATTCATTCAGCCTAAATACACATGGAAAGAAGGAGCATTTATAGAGCAGAATCAGCCTCCTGATTCCAAAGGATGTGGGGAGAGAGTGTAGGACAGTAGTAAAAACCTGGACGGACAGACATGAGTTTGAACCCTGTCTCTGCATCTTACTTTCCAGTGACCTTGGTATATTACTTAAGCTTACTGAGTCTGTTTCCTATTTGTGAGAAATAATAACAATAATACTTGAGCCATAGGGTTGTTGCAAAGATTCAAAATGAGAGCTTATAAAGTTTTTGCCTGGTATTTAATAAGGAATAGAAACCATTATACCATTATTGTCCTCTTTCACATGGATGGAAGAAAATTAATAAGAACTACCATTCATTGAGCACCTATTATAGATCTTGTATGTAGCGGCATCTAATTCTTAAAACCATGCTGTAAGAGCAATATTATTACCCCCATTTTATAGATGAGCCACATGACTACCATGCAGTAGAGCCAAGGTTCAAATTCAGGTTTCTCTCCCTAGAAGGCCTGGATCCTTTCCTCTATCCTTCACTACTTCCTTAAAACCAAGAAAAAAATCCAACTAGTCACCCAAACACTGGTAGTTTTCAATAGTGAATTTCCTCTTCAAAAAGCTTTTCCCAGTGGCCAGGCAAATTTGGCAATGTTATCATAACTGATCATGAGCCAGGGATCCTACCCAACCCATGCTTCAACATCTTAGTAATGAGACCCACAAGCCTTAGACTTGTCTTGGTCATTCTGTACATCTGGTTTTGGATGGAACATGGTGGTGAAATCTTCTGACCTTGAGAAACTATCACCTGTCAGTTCTAGCAAAAGTTGGATTCATAAATATCTTAGTCTGTCTGGGCTGCTATTACAAAAACACCATAGCCTGGATGGCTTAAATAACAAACACTAATTCTCATAGTTCTGGAGGCTAAGATCAAGGTCTAGAAGTCCAAGATCAAGATGCCTGCAGATTGGTGTCTGGTGAGAGCCTGTTTCCTGGTTTATAGATGGCCTGTTCTCATGGTGTCCTCACAGGGCAGAAAGTGGGAAGGAGCTCTTTGGGGTCTCTTTTATAAGAGCGTTAATCCTATTCATGAGGGCTCCACCCTCATGACCTAATCACCTTCCAATGGCCCCCACCTCCAAATACCATCACTTTGGAGGTTAGGATTCAACATATATGAATTTTAAATGGTCACATTCAGTCCTTAGCACTAAGTCAATATTTGCAAGAATAAAATCAGTGGGTTTTTTATTTAAATTCAATTAGCCAACATATAGTACATCATTAGTTTTTGATGTAGGGTTCATTGATTCATTAGTTGCATTAACATCCCATGCTCATCACATCACGTGCCCTCCTTAATGCCCATCACCCAGTTACCCCATCCCCCACCCACCTTCCCTTCTGCAACCTTCAGTTTGTTTCCCAGAGTCAAGAGTCTCTCATGGTTTGTCTCCTTCAGCGTTTTATCCCTTGTGGGGTTGTTCATTATTCCCCTGTAGTCATCTCTTTCTCACTGGTTTGGTTTTTGGTGTGAGATCTCAGGATCATGTGTGTTACAGGAGTGATGGGGAATGCTCCATGGTTTCACATCAACCATACTGTCCATCCATAGCTCCTGTAGGCAGCCTGACATTTTGCCCTTGTACTGTACTCCATGAAGAGCATAGGTGGTTGGTAAAAGACTCACTTGGAATAACAATGTATGTTACTCCAACTGCCTTCTCCATGTTCAACAATTCTGAAATTATCTTTGTATATTAGGTTAGAAGGGTGAACAAATCACTTAACCTTTATGAGCCAATTTATTGCCTGTGTAAAATAGAGAATTTGGATTACATTGGGTTCTTTCTAGCTCTACAATATTATCATTACATTATTCTACATGATCACCCAACCCATTGGTTTTCCCAAAAGTAGAAGAGAGTCTTAGAATACATGATGATGAATTATATCTATATTCAGGAGATATTGATACTAATGATCTTAAAAACCTTTAGAATTGAATAGGTTGAATAGATTGAATAGATTACAATCACTTAGAGTTGAATAGATTGCAGTCACTTAGAGTAAAAAAAAAAAACCTAACCCTAAATAAAAATGTGAATGATGCATATGTGTATCTTTCTGTGATTACAAATATTGATAATTTAACAATGTATCACTAGTGAGCTCCCTTGTCATAGGTATCATCTTATTTCATAAAAATAATAAATTGATAACATATAAACACACGTGATAACTAACATATGAAAGGAAAAAAAACACTTAAGTACACCAATAGGGCAAAACTATTTTTTAAACAGTTTAATTCCTTTATAACTTACATAATTTCAAGGCTAATGAAAAATACTTTTACTAAAACAATTTTTATTTTAAATGCATTCAGAAATGTTTTGTTTTTTCTAACTAAAATAGATGATCTTAAACTTACCTATTAACCATTTCTTTAAAAAGGGCTTATGTAAAACATTCATTAAAATAGATTTGCAGGCCCATTTTGTGAGGCAGGAGATTGGAGTCAGCATACTTAATTTACTATTTTGATGGAATCCGAAGGATTTTCATTAAGAGCTGAAATACTTTGAACCCAAGTATTTAAGCTTCAAAACCAAGCTGTAAGCGCTGGAGGAAATGTAAGTCAAATTTTGATTTAAGTCAACCTAAGATCCTTAGCTGAAAAAGTACTTACATTCTAAAAATATTTATTAGATTAGGTTATTTTTGTATTTTGGCATGCACACATACAAACACATGTACTTCTCTCCTGTGAATTCTACAAATCAACTGACCACTCTTTTTGAGGCATTTAAAAAATGATTATTTTTATATTAATTTAATGAATATTTTTATGAGATATCTGTGTGCCAAATGGAAGCCCCCAAAACAACTCAAAAGTAAAGCATCAGAAGACATAAATGATAACCAACCTATGAAGACAGAAATTGTAAGGCATGGGTAAAGCCCCATTGAGCTACTGAAATTAAGTATCAAAGACCCAAAATATTGAACCCTTCTCTGGGGTCACAGAGATGAACATATCAAAGTACTGCAGAATAGGTTCTTCTCAATAGCAGGGATGGGGTCTTATTTGTCTGTAACTCGCCAGGACCCAGCATACTGTCCAGCACATAGAAGTTGCTCAAGATAAATCTGCCTTCTTTCAGGGTCATAAGCCATTGCAGGACACTTAAGTATATTTGAGACATATGTGAAGCTGCTGCTTACTACCTCTGTTGCCAATAGGATGTAGGGTATTTGGGGTTGTTTTTAATTCAAAATTATTAGGTCTGTCTAACTGATGGAGGTTTGTTGGTGCCAAGGGGTGGCTTTGAAGGACTTTGCCCTTTGTTCCATTCTCTCCTCCTCAATATGCAGACACACAATTCTTTAACCTAGACAATTGATATTTTCTTAACCTATTGATACAGGCTCTGTGAAAGAACCTCAGAGCTCCCTTACACAAACCTTCACTACCACTTTGTCACTCCCTATTCTCTCACTGATGACTGGGGTGAGCATTCATTCTTAGGGGCAATTTTTCTTTGTTAAATAACTTGTAGCTCCTGGAAACTGAATGTTCAGTGAGCAAATGGCCCCAGATCTTGCTGTGATAGATAACCAAGAGGACAAACTAGACTAGTCAAGAGAATCACAGGTTTTCTGTTACAAAGACAAACTCATCTTTAATGATCAGATGAAAATGCAAATTTAGGGAAAAACAAATCAGGTTATTTGGAGGACAATATGCACTTGGAGGATATTCATGTCATTGTGGTTTCCTGAGGAAAGAGCCTCTATTTTGCTTGCAAACAAAATGTCGCTTCTAATTATTCAAACTGACACCCCACAGGAGCTTTTATGAAAATTGAGTAGATCCAGAAGAATGGGCAGGCACCAGGGTTTTTATTTTGGAAAATGGGAGAGGTCAGCAACCTGTAGGTAATTCTGATAAAAGAGAATTCTTGAGTGGCTAACCCCAACTCTCTTGGTAACAGAACCTCGTTGAATAAACTTGGGCAGCAATACTTCTTCTGTTTCCTCATCTTCTATTAAAGCAGTTAAATAAGCCCTTTCTTAAGTAAGAGTCCTTTTGTGGCACCCAGTATAAAGTAAAACATGAAGATGAAAAGAGTTTTTTGAGATTTTGAGATTACCAAATGATGGTCTTTGAAAAATTGTTGTGTATTTTATAGTAATAATTATTATTATGAGCTTTATTAATGACTAAGATGCCCAAAAGGGGGTATCAATTTTCTATTACCACAGTTTCAATCCCCACTGCATTCCACTGAATTCCACCCTTCTCCATGTTAGTCTCATCCTCCAACAGACTAGCCTGGATGTGTTCTCGTGGCAATGGCAAAGGGCAAAGCAAGAGCAAGCCCACTTTCACAAGGCTTTTCCATGTCTCTGCTTGCATTTCATTGGCTAATATCTCACTGGCCAAATCAAGTCACATGCCCAAGTGCAGGGTCAGAATGGACATGCATTGCA